CCTCAAGATGCTGGACAAGGTCAACAAGCTGGACACCCTCAAGGTGTCGAACAATGTGGACACCCTCAAGGTGTTGGACGTGATGGGCACCCTCAAGGTGTCGAGCAAGATGAACACCCTCAAGGTGTTGAACAAGTTGGGCACCATCGAGGTGTCGCAGCAGGGCTACTTGCTGGAGAAGTGCAACGTTCTGGCAAGGGGCATGGTCAAGGAAGAGTGGTGCGGCCCAATGGGATGGGAGGTGAGATACCATCTCATGGGGTTGCAAGACAAGGTGGGAAGACTGGAGGACTGGGAGGTGAGATACCAGTTCAAAGGTCTGACATCATGCAAGAGGCTGGACACCATCGAGGAGTCAGCCGTGGACCCTCAAGGTCTGAAGTTAATGTGCAAGAGGCGGGACACCATCGAGGAGTCAGCCGTCATGGACCCTCAAGGTCTGAAGGAAATGTGCAAGAGACTGGACGCCATCGAGGAGTCAGTCATGGTTATGGACCTGAACGACGTCAAGTTCAAGGTCATCGAATAGTACCAAGTGGTCTGCGAGATCAATCTCAAAGACGAGGTCATCGGCAAGATGATGGATCACCCTTGGAAAGAGTTCCAATGGGAGTGCAACAGTATGAGATGAGACGACAGATGCCACGTGAGGCAAGTCGGCAACCACAAGGTGGAGTACAAGGTTGTAGCACAACTACCTTTGTGGACGATGTCAATCAACAAGGAAGAGATGAGCGTGATGAGCTCAAGCGGGCTTTGGAGCAATCAATGGTTGAAGAGCTTCACAGACAGAAGCTTGAGATGGAGAAACAAAAGGAAGAGATGAAGAAGTATGCTGAGGACTTGCAACGCCAGCGTGATGAGTTTGAAAAGAAGAATGAGGAGTTGCAGAAGGAGCTCAAGAAGAAGAGTTCAAGCGTGGAACCACCAAGGACACCACCGCGCCGACCTCAGTACTACTCGCTGTCACCAAGAACAACACCTGGAGGAACTCAAGTTCCACCGGGACAACCACCACGGGAGGTAGCAGATCTTCCAGAACTTCCACCATGGCAGTTTGACCCATTTGCAGTTGATGAGCACGTGGGTGGTGGAACAGGTTTTGATGGTTTGGAGGATTTTTGGACTCCAGTGGATCAACAACCACAACAGCAGCATCATCTTCAACCTGGAGCAGATCGTTTTGCATGGTTGGACAGAGAGGTCAGGATGATGCATGGAGAAAGACCAAGGTTGACAGGTGAGTACTGGGAGCAACCGGTGCACAGGCATGGTGGTCCACCAGCGGACTTTGGCTATGTTCCGCAACCACCACCACAACCGCCTCAAGGACATGGAGTTGGACCTTATGGTGTACCAATGTATGCAGCACCAATGTCATATGGTTCAGTGCCACTGCAATGGCAACAACCTCAACCACAAGCAAAAGGTCCTGATGGCGAAGCTTCTGAGGTGCTGAGAAATGTGCCGATTACACTGCCAACTTTGAAGGACGTGTCAGAGCCTCAAGCTGCCCTTCGTGCAGGAGATTGGTTAAGTGAGTTGATGCCGCTGATCTCAGATGTCTCAGAAGGGGCAAGAGTGTGGTGGACCGGACTAGTACAACGAGCTCAAGATGCCTATGCAACATGGCTGACAGCGGGTCCAATGGATCGCATGGCTGTGCAACCTGACCTTCAAGTTGAGAACAAGTATGTCAGGTTGGAGTCTCGTGTGCTGTCAATGTTGTTAGCTGCAGTGCCACAGACGGTCAAACAAGAAGCAATCTCTTTGCGAGAGATGACATGCGTGCAGCTGGTGTTTCGCATCCTGAAGCTGTACCAACCTGGTGGTCTCAACGAGAAAAGCACCATCCTCAACAACTTGACCCAAACAACAGCAGCCAAATCTGCAGCTGAAGCTGGTGAGATGCTACGCCAATGGCGACGTCAACTCCTGCGAGCTCGTGAACTTGGACTACAGGTTCCAGATCCCTTGCTGCAGGTGAGCGCACTTTCTGAAGTGATGCGGACAGTGATTGCGAAGGAGCATCAAGCGAGCTTTCGCATCAGCAACTTCCGCATGACCCATATGGTGGATGTGGCGCCTACACAGCTCACAGCGGAGAACTATCTGCAGATGTTGATTGCCGAAGCGGATCACTTGCATCATGGAACAATGACGAAGGCAAGTCCGACTTCTGGCAACCCCAAGATCAATGTGGTCAATGCTGCTGGTGACAAGGGTGGTGGCAAGAAGGGATCTCCTGGTAAGAAAGGCTATGGCAACAATGCAGAAGGCAGTGGTTATGGTGCAGGAGCTGGAGCATGCAGGCATTGGGGTAAACCTCAAGGATGCCTCAAGGGTGACAGATGCACCTATGCCCATGAGTGGAACAATCTCAACGACAAAGAGAAGAGATGTTGGAAGTGTTCCAGTTTGGAACACATTGCCAAAGACTGCACGGCTGGTGACAAGGTTATGACAAGTCCTGGTGATAGAAGCTCCAAAGGAAGCCCCAAAGGCAAGGGAAAGACAAAGGATGGCAAGAACGACAAGGGCAAAGGCAAGGACCGGGACAAGCCGGTCGGGGGAGTGGATCAGTCTTCAAAGGATTCACAGCCAGCAACCTCAAGTTGCCCAGATACAACAGCAACCTCAAGTTGCTCACAGATACAACAGCAACCTCAAGTTGCTCCGACACAACAGCAACCTCAAGTTGCTCAGGTACAACAGCAGCCTCAAGTTGCTCAAGTACAACAACAAGTTCAGCCCTCAGTCGTGGGTGAAGTGGCCAGTCTTCTGAAGACAATGCGAACAACGTCAACGACTCCAAGGGTGTTGGCGGTGGTGGCTGATAGCAATCAGGGTGTGCTATTGGACTCAGGGGCCACGCATATCCTTAGAGGACCCTATGATGAGACTGAGTGGATGCAGGCGATCCCAACAGAGGTACAAACGGCAACTGGAAAAACACAGTTGAGGATGTCAAAGATGAGCAGATCGTTGTTGACAAAGGATGATCTGCAGCCAATTGTGCCTTTGGGAATGTTGACTCAGCATGGATGTAAGATGAGGTGGCATCGCGATGGGTGTGCTCTTACACATGGCAAGCTGGGTGAAGTGAAAGTCACAGTTCGTGACAATTGTCCCTACGTGACCAATGATGTGGGGATGAAGCTCATTCGAGAGCTGGAAACTGCTGAGAAGAACAAGCAGTTGATGTTGCGAAGTTTGGAAGTCACAGGTTGGAAACAGGAAGACAAGGACATGGCCGACAAGCTCGAGAAGTTGTTTCCTGAAACACCTGTGGAGTTGTTGCAACCTATGGTGAGTAAAGCTGGTGATGAGGCTCGATTGCCATGGAATCGCCATCAACGGCGACGCTTCAAGAAGGCCAAGGGCATTGTGCTGAATTTGTTTTCAGGTCCAGAT